CCGTTCGAGCGAAGAGCGTTCAAGCTCGCTCCCTTTGGACGTATTTCCAGAAGTTTCGGAAAGCAGTTACCACGTCAGGTGATGTACGGCCTACATCCCTTTTTTCTTTAAGTCCTTCTCGAGTTAGGGGCCCCGATCTTAGCAGGCTTGATAGCCTCGAAAGATTTCCTGGTTCGAGTCACCAACATCGAACCCTCCATCTCGTCACCATCATCGTCCATGGACTGGTGGACCGAGTCAATATCCACGTTGATGACGGCACTTTTCTTGCGCCTCCTAGCGGGCTCTGCTTGGCCTTGAGTGTCCTCGCTCTTCGAGGACCTTTTTCTCTTGTTATCCTTCTTTGGCTTTGGAGCTGAAGATCCTACTTCCTCCCCAGAAGGGGGAGGCCTCATCTCGAACAACTCAAAAATTCCTGCGATAGAGGAATCAGGTCACATGAAGGAAGACATTCTTAATAAGAAAAGAAATATTATGACGCGTACCGTGGTGTTTCGCTTCCCACTTGCCCTTCGACAAGTCTCGCCACTTGCATTTGTCGTATGATGAAGTAACAGCTAGTTTGTGAACCCAGTCCTCAAGGTCGAGGACCGCATTAGGCATCCATGGGACCATTGCAGAAAAAGGAAAGAAATAATTATGCGAAGTTTAGCAAAATATATGGGAAAGAACTAAAGCAAAGAATTCCACTCATGTTCAAAGTTCCATTCCTTGGGGAACGGCAGGAACTCCTTGGGAATAACATCGACGGTCCTCACCCGGATGAACCGGCTCATCCAACCTCGATCCTTGTCTTCGTCTTTACTGGCGAAGAAGGACTTGGTTGATCAGCGTTGGAGTTTGATGAAACCTCGAAAATGTTGACGTCGATATAATCAGATGAGGTGGCTGAGGGTGAACTCGAGCCCGGCCTTTTCGATGAAGAACATCATCATTATTACGATCCGCCAAAAGGACGGATGATTCTGGCCCAGGGTGACTTGATATCTTCGGTAGAATTCAAGCACGAGCGGATCTAGGGGACCCAACGTAAAGGGGTATGTATACACATTCAGGAACCCCTTTACGTAAGTTGTGATGTCCTCCTCACGAGAAGGTATTTTCAGAACGACCTTCTCTTCCCATTTACACTCTCTCCTCACAGCATCGAGGTGTTTTTTCTCAGTTGACCTTATATATCTCGATGCATGCTCTCGACGGCCGGGGACGTCGGGAGGGTTCTCGACTATAAAGTCCTTTTTCAAAGTAAAATTGTTCGGTACGATCTCATGAAGCGTCGGCGGTTTACCACCTGCTGAACGGGAAGTAGAAGTGGAGGTTCCTTCTTTCTGAGGAACGGACTTGGAAGTTTTTGCCATCGGTTCTTTAGAATAAGAAGGAAGACATGAATAAACTGGTGAGGTTTTTAGCTAATACAGCGGAGGAACCGGTGGTGAAAAGGAAACGTGTAGAGGAAAATAGGTGTTGCAAGGTGGAAAAGTTCTGAATGAGAAGAGAAAACAAGTATATATAGAGGAAGGCGGCGACGGTTCATTAATATTGATGGCCGACCGGCTCTGACGCACATTTAATGCTTTTGGGGAAAAGAACCGATGGGACGCTTCGGTTATTTCAACGCTTACGTCATAAGAGTAATGCCATCATAAAGGACTCCGGGAATTCAAATCGTTTCATATCATTTCATTCTAAGAAACGCGAGGACTATCTGTATACGGTCGAAATCGGAGAGCTCGATTTCGAAGACTTAACGGTACCTCAGGCTCGAGCTCGGGCAGCACGAAATAAAGACCAGATCTGAGTGGAAAATGCATACCTCGAGGTAGAAAATCGGAGACCCGTCATGATCTACCCCGGGAACAGTACAATTGCTATGACACTCAAGAAAGAACGGGAATTTCTCAAGGACACGTGGATTAGGGCGTAAATTATAGGATAAGATTTGTACGAAATAGTAAGAGTCCGTACTAGGTTGTTATACAGCTGTACCAATAGAATTCTTTATCATAATTGGGAATGTACCATATTAGGTTTTCCCCTCCTATATAAACGGGACCTCAATCATTTGTAAACATTATCTCATTCACTGCAATAGAATATTCTACTCTGCTTTTCTCGTTTACTGTGCTCCACAATTGTTCTTCAGCTTTATTGTTTTTACTTTATTGTTCATACTTTATTTGCTCTTAACTCACCTCGAGGCTCCCGAGATAATCGAGCTCGAGGTCCCCGTTGCTCTAACAACTCTGGTTTGGTTCATTAATTCTTCGTACTTAAACCTAATATTACTTGTATATTCACTAGCATTGGAATAAATCACATATCTTTAAAACCACAAATCACCTTTAATTGTTACTCACATCTTTCGAGGCAAGCAACTATTATTATTATTATTATTATTATTATTATTATTATTATTATTATTATTATTATTATTATTATTATTATTATTATTATTATTATACCCCTGGCATGCAAAGTCACAACATTTTCCACGGATTAAGTTTAACTTCTCTCTCACTTTGTCAAGCCGCTTAGAAATTTCAAAATTGAAGAACTTAATTTGATAGGGTGATCAGTGATGTGATCTTCCTTTTCTTTTTTCTCCATATCGTTTGATTAAAAGTTAAAACCTGGTTTCTCAACTGGAGGTTCTAAATGCTTTACAAGGAAATAGTTTCTGAAAAGATAATTGTCATTTAATCATTAGCCCTTGTTTTGTTAAGGTTGCAACCATATTCTGCCCAAAACCTTTTATTTTTTCCTCACTATTGTACTGTTACTTGAAGGATACAGCATCTTTGGCCAAATGGTAGTTGAGCCATTATATAGTCAAACAGTTTTGGTAAAAAGATACACATTCTATTTAATTTGCATCCATTACTACAAAGTAGTAGTGTGTGTTGTACTAACCAAAATCTTCAAACAATCATTGTATTAGCAGTTTACTTAGCAATATGCATGGAGACAAAGTTGGATGAATTTGATTCACACAAAATTTCTTGCACAAATTCGCTTTTTTTTTTTTGGTTATTCGTTATTCCCATCAGAGTATGAATTCTTTACAATTGATTCGTTATCTTCTCGTTTAGACATTTACTATGAGCATTGATTCACACACTACATTATTACCATAAAAAAATATTTATCCCGATATAGTTTTATTACAAAGAACAAAAAAAGTACTAAATCCCAGAAAGCCTGTTGGAGAAGCATTCCTTTATTCACAAAAAATTGACAATTATTTCTTCCCTAAAACATTCCTTTGCATAGGAGTATATAATATTAACAACAAAGCCCAAGAAGAAGAAGAAACATCAAAAGCAAACAGACTTAAGGAAAAATAAAAAAGGAAAAACAGATAGTAATAATAGTATGTGATAAAAAATAGTACTAGAATTACTGCAACAACAACAACATGACATTGTGCCTTTATCTTTAGTTGCCTTCTTTAAGTACCTTTATTTTTTAACTTTGATATTTGTAAGACCAAACAAAGAAATTTTGTTTCTAAAGATGGGGTAGTATTAGTCTAACCAGATCTTCTACCCTCTCTACCTTTTGCTGACCAATGGCAGCACATCTTTAGTGTAGCTGACCAAGTCGTTTTATATTTCCAATCACATCAAAACGACATATGTGGCATTGGGTTTTGGGTAAAACATACTAAAAGCAAAAAAAAAAAAAACAAAAAATTAAAAAAATCAAGAAACCAGTCTTCAGTGTGTGTGATTGTGTGTGCACTTTATTCTGTTCAAATTCTTTACTTTGTTGCTGTTACTAAGTTCAAGAAAGAAGAGAAGGACCCCTCCTTTTACTTTCTCTCTCTCTCTCATTCTTTTTCTCTCTTTATTTCTTATATATCTATTTTTGGCCTACATTGTCTTGTGCTTAACTTAAAGTAGTGTAGTTGTCCTCTATTCTTGGTCATTGTGTTTTTGGTTTCAAGCCCCTTTTTCTTTCTTCTATATAGTGTAATCTTTGTGTTAAAAAACAAATACCCATATAGCTCAAGAGTGGTTTTGGCCAAGAAAGGAACAATCTTTGTGCTTTTAGAGATTCATACAATATAATGCTTGAAAATTGAACTTCTCTTGTAACCAGAACAAAATTTGAGGAGTGCCCATATTTGCTAAAGTTCTGAGCTTTCTTGATTTCTGATCTTAATTTGTATGATTCTGAGTATAATTTGGCAAGTGGAAGGTGGGGGAGAATAGAAAGAAAGGGTGCATGAAGGAATAGTGAAACAATGAGAGATGAAAATTCCAAGAAATGCAAGGTGAATGAATTACTTGTGTTTATTTTTTTTTTCCCTTTTGCTTTCATTTCTTGGAAATTGTAATTTTTAGGAATTCTATTTTTTGCATTCCTCCAAGTTGACATTTTTTTGTTTCTTCTTTGATTGTCTGAAGCTCTCCTGGTCAAAGAAACTTGTCAGAAAGTGGTTCAATATTAAGGGCAAAACTGAAGAATTCCAGTCTGATGAAGTTGTTTATGGAGGTTGGATTTCCTCTACCTTTGTGCTTATTCTCTTTCTTCTCTTTTTCTTTGCTTAGTTTTTGTGAATTGGGGTTTTCTCCTTGGCAACTGCTAACAAATTTAGGTGAATCTTTTATTGTTTTCTCTTTTCTGTTTCTTTGTTTGGTTTGGAGGGGTGGGTGGTTAGATGGGAAATCTCATGTTTTGTCTTTCATGTCCTAATTTCTGGAAGGTTATATTTATCTGTCTGGAGCACATGTTGAAGTTCATAAAATTTCTACAAGTCATAATTTATTCTTTTTCTCTATCTCCTACTGAATTCAGTGGCTACATTTCCTAAAAAATGCCACCAAGATAAAGTCAAATTCAATCATTTTTATTTCTGTTACTTAGAGTTTGGTTGATTTTACCAACTTTACCTACCCTTCAACTGTGAATTGAAGCATAAATGTATGTCCTCCTTACTTTAGGTGGTGACGAGTGGAGAACGAGCGTCTCGGAGAGGGAGCATTGCACAATTAAGAAAACCAAAACAGGTTAGTGACAGGGTACTGGTGAATGTAAATGAAATATAACTCCCAGTTTAGTTTATATGTAAGTCTGTTCTATACTGATTAATTCTTGTCACCTTGCCCCTCTCGAATAAGTAGAGAAATCAAATTCGAGTCGGAGTATGGAGCGTCCTCGACGAGGAAGAGCAGATCTTGATCACCCTCAGATTATAAATGTACACAACTACAGGTTTGTGCTCTTCATAAATCTCCAAGTCATTCCAGACTTTTCTTCTATAGGGCTAAAAGCATGATTGTGTTTCCTTCTTGTTGATGCTCTCTTTATCCGTTCTTGGCACAGCGTTTTCGTAGCTACATGGAACGTGGGTGGAAAATCACCGTCGAGTAATTTGAATCTAGATGATTGGCTTCATTCAGCACCACCTGCAGATATCTATGTACTTGGGTATGAGGTTTTAGATATGTCATTATGTATTCTTACAGGTTTTGTCCTTTTACAGTAGCTGACTGAAACAAAAATTTGCTTTTACACTCAGATTTCAAGAAATAGTTCCTCTAAATGCTGGTAATATTCTTGGAGCTGAAGACAATGGCCCTGCCAAGAAATGGCTATCTCTGATCCGGAAGACACTTAACAATGGTCCTGGTACTAGTGGAGGCAGCGGCTGCTATACTCCTTCTCCTGTCCCAGATCCAATTGCTGAGTGGAATGCTGACTTTGAGGGGTCAAGTAGACGCAAGGCATCATCCTTGTTTCCTCGTCGGTCATTCCAAACTCCTCAATGTTGGAGAATGGAAAACGATCCATCCATTTCGCAACCTCGCCTTGATAGACGATACAGTGTGTGTGATCGAGTAATTTTTGGACACAGACAGAGTGATTTTGATCCTAACGTAAAATGGGGGCACAGGCCTAGTGACTATGGTCCCAGGCCAAGTGACTATTCATCTAGTCACAGACCAAGCGATTATTCCTCTGGTCACAGACCAAGTGACTATTCCTCTGGTCACAGGCCAAGTGATTATTCATCTGGTCATAGGCCAAGTGACTATTCTTGGGGACAGAGGCCCAGTGATTTCTCCAGATGGGGCTCTTCAGACGAAGATTATGGTCCTGGAGATTCACCAAGTACTGTTTTGTATTCACCTGTGACGGGTGAAGATGGTAATAGAATGCCCAGAAATTCAAGATACTGTTTGGTAGCCAGTAAACAGATGGTTGGCATTTTTCTCACTGTATGGGTGCGAAGCGAGTTGAGGGAGCATGTCCGGAATATGAAAGTATCATGTGTTGGCAGAGGGTTGATGGGTTACCTTGGAAATAAGGTAATATTGATTGGAAAAGAATTGCTCTTTTTGGCTGAATTAAGTGTTTCTTCCTATTGATCTGGAAATGCATACATAAATTAACGTGTTATTCCATGTGCGGATTTGCAGGGATCTATTTCCGTAAGTATGCTGTTGCATCAGACAAGCTTTTGCTTTGTATGTACTCACTTAACCTCTGGTCAGAAAGAAGGTGATGAATTACGCAGAAATGCAGATGTGATGGAGATCCTAAAGAAGACAAGGTTTCCGCGAGTAAATGGTGCGGATGAAGAGAAGTCCCCTGAAACTATTCTTGAACACGAGTAAGACCACCATTTACTCTGTACAAGTAGCTGTAATTGCTGTCTCCCAAATTCTGATGTTAAAAACAAGATCATGAAAGCGGTAAAATGGAATAAAGAAAGTTTAACATAATTAGTTCTGTAGAACATAATGAACAAATTCTCTTGTTTTGCCGTGTCAGTGAACAATGTGTTCAATTTCTACTGTTCATTTGAGTTTATCTGAGATATGTAATACATATGTTTTCTAATGATTATCCTTTTTCTTTAGCCGAATTATTTGGCTCGGGGACCTGAATTATCGAATTGCACTCTCGTACCGTTCTGCCAAAGCACTTGTTGAGATGCAAAACTGGAGGGCATTGTTGGAAAATGACCAGGTATTTTCACAATTGGAGTAGAGTTTTTGTCCAATTTTTATTTTCTAAAATTCAGTTTGGAAATCATCATACGACAATTTTGAACTAATCTTGTTTGAGTTTCCTTTACAGCTGCGTATAGAACAGAGACGAGCTCGGGTTTTTGTGGGATGGAAGGAAGGAAAGATATATTTCCCACCAACATATAAATATTCAAGGAATTCAGATAGGTATTCAGGAGATGACATGCACCCAAAAGAGAAACGACGAACACCTGCATGGTACAAGATTTTCCTTTATAAATGTCAATATCATTCATGAAATCTAAAAATAGCACATAGGCAGAAGTATTAAGATAAGTGAACAAGGATGCATTCTTTATCAATAAAATGGTTAATTTATTTATCGAGACTAGAACTGATTTTTTCCCTTTCTTATATTATAAAGGTGTGATCGGATATTGTGGCATGGAGGTGGGCTTCAACAATTATCTTATGTTCGTGGGGAGTCTAGATTTTCAGATCATAGACCCGTTTCCAGTGTGTTTTGGGCTGAAGTGGAGTCGGTCCCTAGCAGATTGAGGAAAAGCATGAGTTGTTCAAGCTCAAGAATTGAGGTGGAAGAGCTGTTGCCATACTCACACGGTTATACAGAACTCTGCTTCTTTTGATGGAGAATGGAGGATACCGAACCTCAGTTTTTGGTATGCTCCCTATTTCTTTCTAGGAACATTTTTACATTCACGACTGCTTTTATTTATGTGGATGTTATTTTCTATCTCTACATGGAATGGTTGATTTGGTAAATAAAGTACTCCTTTCGGTTACATTTTGGCATGAAGCGGCTTATGAAGAAAGAAAAGCTCAGTTCTTTTTCTTCCGAACTTCTTAACTGATCTTTATCACTCTGTGGAGAAAGTTAAAATATGCACCTACCATCACCAGACATAAAATGTTTGTTTGTTATAAGTTATGCAGATTCTTCATAGGATTCTTATCCGATAGCAAATTTATTTCTTGTTTTTAGCATATGTTTAGAATCTGCTCTAGATACTAGTATTTCTAGACATTGTGTCCCTTGGTCTCTCCGGATTTGTCTTTACCTCTGAATTTTCATTTGGACCTACTACTGCATGGTCCTTATCATGCTTCTCTTTTGGTCCCCATATTCAGGCGGGAATCAATTAGACGAACCTCAAACCTGAAGGGTGCTTGGGACCGTCCTTATCCCACTAACCGAAAAAGGTTAGTCCTTCTCTTTATCCTTTTCTTGATTCTGCAAGTTTTACCGTCACTTTTCTAAAATCTCCGTCCTCTTTCTTTGACCAGGTGTATATTCAAAATTTTGATGACTAACTTAACTTGAAGCAATGTGGACTACACATTCTTTCATTGCAAATGAACATTTTCAGTAGAATTTAGGAGCATAACTCGACTGTTTGATTAACAAACTCCCACTGGCAGCGTCTCTTTTGGCATGGTTATCATCTTTCTTCTGTTGTGATAAGGTAATTAATTATACTTCACTTCAGTTTTATATCTCTAGAGAAATTATTTGCTGGTTTATAACCAGGGGCGGATTTAGGGGGGAGGAAGGGTGTTCACCCGAACCCCCAAAAATTATATATAAGGCAAAATTTGTTTTTTACCTTTATATATTATGTTTTGAATCCCCTTGACACAGTCCAAAAGTATAGCTTAGTGGTCCCCTCTAGCTACAACCTTTTTAACTTTTTTTCTTTTTTGAACCCCTTAGTGGAAATTTTGCCTCCGCCACTGTTTATAACCATCACCTATACTTATGTGATTAGCTGTGGTTATGATGTTTTTGGTTACTAAATATGTATCTCTTTTTTCAATATATTTGCAGGATGAACTAGACCAAGAGTTAAAAAGGAGTGCCAAGTGGGAAAATGACAATGATTTTTGTTCCAAGATTCTTTTATTAGTTAGGAATAGGATTGAGAGATTCAATGACAAGAAGAGCATGAGTGAAAAATAATCATGTTTGAGTTTTGCCTTTTTGTTTTTAATGAAATGAAGATAGATTCTGAATCATCTCATGTATACTCAATTGCAAACGTGATAGTAAAAGATTTATTAATTTAAACCCCTCCACTCTCTTTGCCAATGATTTACCTGAAAAGTCGTTTTTCTTGGGTTTTTCCCTGTACTCAACTGTTGTCTGCTTTTTTTTCTTTCTTCTCTCTGTAAGGTTAAAGATAAAGTAATAGACAAATTTTACAGAGATAACAGTTAAAGTCATATTGGGAGGGAAAGCATGATTCAGATTCAGAAATACTTTATTCTTGGAAGGATACTGTTCACACATTCTTTTTTTTTTTTTTATTGTCTGTAATAGCAAAATTTCAGTTTTTGTTTACCGCTTAGCTGTGTCAGAACCAAAGACCTTAGCTTTACAGATTCCAGTGTCTGCTACTCATGCTAGGGATAATTCTGTAGTTGGATTTATCTCTTGGTAAGAGAGTGTGCTCCATTTTTGGTTGGACGGAGGTTAAATAAATTTTGTAGGAAGCCTAAGGCAAGAAGGTAAGGTTTATAAACCATATATACGGGGATGTGGCGGCTTTAAATTAAAAGAGATTGTGGCAAGTGAGATCCCTTAATCACTGAGTTAGCCCGGTGCACTAAACTCGTGCTGTATGCGGGGTCCGACATTCCTGTAAGAGGCTGTTTCCACGGCTCGAACCCCTGACCTTCCGGTAACATGGCATCAACTTTATCAGTTACGTCAAGGCTTTCCTTCATTGCACATTCTTTAGACCGGTATTAAATTTACATTTTTTTTCTTTTTACTATTTTAAATTATGGATTTTTGGAGGATGAGTGGTTGAGCTGCAGCAAAATACTTTACCTAGTAGTATGGTTTTATGTGATGAAAGCTTATACGTATAAACCAAGCAATTGAAGATATTGGGCGAATATTAAAAGGAAAAGTAACAGCTCCCATTGTATGACTTCTTTTAACGGTCCTAAAGATTTGATATGACTTGTTATGACTGTGAGGACCCTAAAGATGTGACATACCTTTGCTTTACTGGATTTAGAATTTACAAAAGTTGGGTCAGAAGAAAATTGGTTGGTTAGGACTTAGGAACAAGACAATTTAGTTAGTAAAACCTAGTTTGCTACTCCTATTTGTGACATTTCCATAATGTGACAATTATGGCCTATTAATAGTAAGTCAAAGGTTAAGTTGGTCAATTTATATGGAAAAAGATGTAGGTTTAGTCACTCATATTTAGTGGGCGTTTGGACATAAGAATTGTAAAATTTCAAAAAAGGATGAAATTTTTTTTCAAGTGAAAATGATATTTGAAATTTAGAGTTGCGTTTGGATATAAATATACTTTTGGGTTGTTTTGAAGTTTTGTGAGTGGTTTTGAGTGAAAATTTTGAAAAATAGCTTTTTGGAGTTTTTCAAATTTTCGAAAATTTCCAAGATGCATCTTCAAGTGAAAATTGAAAGTTTTATGAGCAAACGCTGATTTCAGAAAAAAGTGAAAACTTTTTAGAAAAAACAGAAAAAATTTCTTATGTCCAAACGGGCTCTTAATTAAAAAGGGAAGTTATATTATTTTCAAATCCATATAAAAAGTTGCAATGAACATCTCATCATTACAAGAAAATATAATCCAAAGTCCTTTGCTAATAATTTACTCAAAATTATGGAATTATAACTATTCAATTTTCTAGGAATGACAAATGGGGCGGAATGGATGAAATCTTACTCCGCAAAGATTTTAAGTTTTTAACCTGCCCTATTTCCTGCTTAAATTTCTTTTATTTTTTTGGCTTTTCTCCACTCTCTTTTGAATTCACATGTCACAGCTCAATCCTTTACAGTACTTATTTATGGAATTTCTTCTTTTCCCTTAATTCTTCTCAAATACAAGTTCAGACAATATTCAACCAAGTGTTAAAAGATGGCCAAAACTACTCATCTTGCTTTAAGGAAGTGAAGCACTTAACGAAAATCCTGCAGAATCTTTGCTTCTCTTTGCCGCTTTAGACAGGGAATATCTCTGGTTAAAAGGTTTGTTTTCTTGATTATGTTCTTGTCTGTGTATTTCACTTTTTTATGGGGGTGGAAGTTGATAGATAATTGACAGGTAAAAGAAAATCCAAGGTGTCCAAGAAAAACAAAAAATCTAAAGGGGTAACATTAAAAAAAATAACAATAATAATAAAGAAGAGACAAGTTACAGATTTTTTGCTGCAGAAGTACAAGATAATGGGAGAAGTCATGATTTAGAGTAAGACTCTTTTTTCTTTTTCTAATAAGACACGTCTATTTCAGTTTTGTAATTTTGCAGCAAAGAGTGCTCGACATAAAACAGAAAAACTATTATCATTTGTTTTAATAAATTACTTTTTCTTTTCATGACTTCTCATAGAGCACTAACGTTGGTATTCATACTTTTAATGAATGGGACATTGCTTCAAAATCTAATGGCATTTGGACAGTCCACAGTTCCATTTGCTTTGTTTCTGGGACCAGAACCATGCCACACATTTACAAATAACCTCTAAAATCCATCATTCAAGTTTGCTCCTTGGTGGCAAAACTTAATTAATAATTTTTTGAACATAAAATACATTTTTGATGTTTAAAAAAAAAGATACAATAATGGGTATTTCGCAGTTTTATACTGCGAATTGGCTTAACGGATTTTTTGCCGTTAAGGCATTTTGCAGTATAAAACTGCGAAATACTAAAAAAATAATTTTTTTATGACATTTCGTAGTAAAGTACTGCGAAATAGGCTGATTTCAGGCCCCACCAATAATTAACTGACATAACAATAATTCAAATACATAAAACGCAGTATAATACTGTGAATTACTTTGAAAAATTGTACACCCCAAGGTCGGACTTGCCTTATTTATAGGCGCTTCAATTTTATAAAAATTCATTCAACACTTAAACTTCAAACATACGTTTATTCTCTCTTCTCCTTACCAATCAATTTTTTACAATGTCTGAAGTGCCAAAAATAAGGGTTTCACTGTATTGGGGGGGTGAGATTGTGGTGGAGAATAACTCTGTGAGGTATAGCTCACCTCCACAGTGTCATGTTAAATTGCCGCTTAATATGGAGTACGATACATTGGTATCGTTGCTACGTAAAAAAATGAGTGAGCGGAGGCGTTCGGTTAGCCTTAAAGTAACCGGTAGATTTTCTTATTCAGTGACTCCGCAGGGGTTTGCTTATTATTCTGAGTTTAACATCGAGGATGATGAAACTCTTAGAGATTTTTTTCGGATTCCGAATGAATACAGGGAATTTATTGTAATAAAATTATTGGAAATGTACGTCAAGGTGGAAGACGTTCCTAGTAATGAGGGCGTGCATAGCAGGGATAACCTCCAGTCATCGGGTGGTTATTCTGGAGCAGCGTTTGCCGGACAGATTGGAGATGAAAGAGCTTGCCTTGATTTAAACTTGTCACCACAGGCGAATGAGCAGCCAGAAAATAATGTTTCTACTTTATATAATCAACAAGACGACTGGTAAACTTCAATTTTACTACGTTTTAGCGATTTTTTTTTTCATGTTTTAATTGGATTTGTATTAACACTCATATTTTTTATAGGGGGTACCGTCCGGATTTGAATTTTACAAGTTATGACCTCGCCCCTAGTTGGAATCTACGTAGGTTTGGAGTATTGGACCACGGTGGTCCATCTGGGAGTTATCACCAACCTGAAAATATCCATCATGAAACGTCAAGACAATACGATTTGTAAGTAAAGTGATATAGCGATATCTAAAGTATTTTTCCCGAGTATTGGGTAACTTAGGTTTTTGTTCGTTTTGTGCAGTGAAAACGAGCTTCTTGAAGCTCCTGGCCTCACACAGTTGCCCATAGACGACGTTTTTACTCGTGATTTGGCAGATGCGCAGAGTCAGGAGGATGATAGTCATTATGACAACAATGCGGATGAGTCTGGGGATGAGACACCCTTCCATGATGAGGGTGATGATGAGGAGGAGGAAGTGAATGTTGAACCTGAGCTGACTAGGGAGCATGTTCCTCCACCTCCCGCTAGACCAAGAGTGTATGAGTCCCACGTGCCATTTCATGAGCGAAATATTCCCTACCTTGATAATTTGCCAAGCATGCCTAACGTTGATGCCCTAACAAGGGATGATGAAGAATTACGGTCAGTGATGTGGGATGAATCTAGACCAGCTGTTCTTACAAAGGGCATGTATTTCCCCGATAAAGCTCGCCTAGTTAGGGCTGTAAAAATCTACAGTATAAGGGAGTGTCGTGAGATGACGGTAAGTGAGTCAACTATGGAGAAATACAAGGCTGTATGCCGTAGGTGGTTTATGGGTTGTCACTGGATGCTGCGTGCCACAAAGAAGAAATCAGGTTTGTGGAAAGTGGGTAAATTTATTAGCGAGCACAGATGTGAAATGGACACATTCAATGAGGATCACTTCAACTTGGATGTGGACTTGATTTCCCTTGTCTTGATTCCATTTTTGGAAGTGTCCATTAGGTTCAAGATTAAAGAGTGTATTACAGCCGTCCACCAGGAGTATGGTTGTACTATAACCAAAAGAAAGGCATATCTCGGTCGCAAACGTGCCTTTGAACTTGTTTACGGCGACTGGGATAAGTCTTTTTCAAATCTGCCCAGGTACATGGCTGCACTGCAACACTTTAACCCCGGGACTGTTGTTGAATGGAGGCGTGAGCGAAGTTCGGACAGACTGGAATATATATTCAACTATGTATTTTGGTCATTTAAACCAGCAATTGATGGTTTTGTGCATTGTCGTCCTATAATTTCCATAGACGGTACTCATGTCTATGGAAAGTATGATATTAAGCTTTTGATTGTAGTTGCTGTAGATGCCAACGGACAAATATTTCCACTAGCTTTTGCCATTTGTGCCAACGAAAGTGAAGAGACGTGGACGCAGTTCTTGAACCACTTGAAGCAGCACGTTGTCAAACAGCGTTCAGGTATTTGTCTAATATCTGATCGGCATGGTGGTATTTTAAGTTCTGTACGT